GTCGCAATTTCCTTCGCTGTTGGAAGTACCAGTACCCGTCCAATCAAATCTACGGCTTCAAGCTCCCGAAGAAGAAAGTCTTGAGATTCGGGGTGGTATGTTTGATTTACCTCTGTGAACTGTTGCTGCGTCAGTTGTTATTGTTGCTGTTATTACTGTTTCCCTGGAAGATGAAACCTCGGGATGGAGTCCCAGATGAGAAATTCCATGAGATCGCTGCATCTTGGTTGTTGAGACTTCCAGTAACATTCACACTCTGAAGCTTACCAACCAATTACTTTGCGCTTGCTGTCGCTTCTGTGCATGGACATATCGCTGTCATTTCTGTGCATGAACGTGTCTCCGGCTGGAGCTTTTGAAGCACAATGGGGACACTTTGGCCATGATGGTTGGGGGCTATAACTCACTGAGCTTTTACTGTGTTTGTGTGTAATGTGTTTTTGTGCGTTGCTGGATGTTGTTGGCACGTTGTGGCAGGAAGCTTTGCTTGATGCTGCGGTGCAAGAAGCCGCAAGCCAGAAGAAGCGTGAGACTGTGAAGACACCGAGTGCGGACCATGAACCTGAAGCTGAGACAGACCGTGACCAAGAAGGAGAAGGTGAAGAGGAGGATGTGGAGTTGATGAAACTGTCCCTAAAGAGGGACTTGATGGCTGATCGTAGGATCGTAGGTCTCGCAAAAAGTTTGGCTGTGTTGCTGTATGCACCTGGGTGCTGAAGTTTGCAGAGTTATGTTGTCCTGCTGCTTGGTTCCCCTTACAAAACCTGGAACCTTGGATAGAAACCAGAACCCCAGTTACTAGGCAAAATTTTGATATTCAAAATTGATTCACTAATGATTGCTAATGTGTGCTTGATTCATGTCCTTCAACAGCTTCCTCCTCCGCTGAGCTCCGATCCGCCCGTTCCGCCCGCTCCGCCCGCTCCACCACCCGCAAACTGGGCCGCCAGTCCTACGAAAGGACAACGAAGGCTTCGACAGAGGACCATGCTTCACCAGATAAAGTTAAGAAGTCATGAAAAGTCAATATATTGACCTCCTCTGCATATAACTACATGCAGAAAAACAGTCATATACATGGGTCCGAGTGCGCGGATTTCCCGTATGTGTGTGCGCGTGTCACACTCTGTTTCTAAGAGTTCTAACGGTTCTTAGTTTTGCAGAAGCAGGGGGCCAGGCAGGATACATCGTCGCCTGGTCAACGAAGCTGGCGATGTATCCGAGGATATGGAAAGGGGACGCCATGTCCACGTACCTGCTGAAATTTGAACTGTTGACCTCCTCCTTCGCTGTGGTTTGTTTGCATGGTGTTTGCATGATATTCCCCTAAACCTTTTCTATGCACGGCGTGAATTCGATCGGCTACGTATTCAGTAACTAGTTTTCTGCAGTCACGCGTAAACCTTTGTTCAAACACCTTCAAGTACTCTGACTTTTCGCCTTTCGGTTCACTCTTTCCTTTCCTTGGTCTGCTAAGTATTCAGTAACTAGTTTTCTGCAGTCACGCGCGAACTCTTTTGTTAAAACACTTTCAAGTCACTGGACCAGCCGCCATTCCGTTCCTTCTTCCTTTTTCGCGTGGTCAGAGTTAACGGAAAACCCTCCTATGACTAAGTGTGTGCCGCTCTGTCACCCCACTGGGTGCAGGGTGTGATCTCCCGCAAGGGAGCGCTGAAACCATTGAGAATCACATATTGACTTTGCGTTTTTGAGCTCTGGGATTATGATATTGGATTGAATTGTTTCACCCGTGAATCAACTGACACCCATGCTGCGGAGCCACGGAGTCCAATAGACTGATCTAGCTTATTTCTTTGAAAATAGTAACTATCTAAGGAATATATATATTCCTTGTTTCGAGTTAAATCAGGTTTGACTATATATCTACAATTGTTTTTGTTTATATCTTATTTGTAAGATAACTATTTTGTGTAACCTTTGTTCAAAAAATATATAGATTTTTTCTACAAAATAGTTACTATTTTAAAAAAAATAGTCACTATTTTCTAGGATGTCCATCCATTCTAGGGGTCGAAGTTTCGACGAAACTTCGACCAAACTTCGACGGCTAAGTTATAGTCAAAAATGAAACTTCGACCAAACTTCGACCAAACTTCGACAGGTGTTTGGTATCGATTTGCAGTGTTTTGAATCAGTGTTTGGGCAGCTTTTTGTGATACATGCTCTTTGGAACTGTCAGAGCAATAGTTTCTTTGTTGCAGTGAGAGTTACTTTTATGAGAGATACTTGAGACTGACTTTTGAGAGAGATATGTTTGAAGAGGTCTTGAGACACAGTTGAGTGAGAGGAGCTGCGTATGTGATGTGATGTTTTTTTGAGAGATACTTGAGACTGACTTTTGAGAGATGTGTTTGAAGAGACCCTGAGAGATACTTGAGTGAGCGCATGATCTTTCCAGCAAACCTTGAGAGAGAGTGTGAGAGACCCTGAGGGATTGTTTTGGGATGTATGTGGACTTTGCGATTGAAGTGCTTGCGATTGATGTATTCCTTTCTATCTGCGATATTCTTTGTGTGACTCAAACGTAGGAGTGTTAGCGTGAAGAGTTTCAATTCGATTTCAATTCGAAGAACATGTCGGGAGCTTTGAGTAAAGCCAAACCTCGACAAGTAGCAGATCCTAGTGTCACCGTGGGTGACTTGATGGAACCACTGGAGTCCTTCTTGGAGACCACTGGGGACAAAAACGTGATGAAACATTTGCAGCCACCACCAAATACATCGTGGAAGACCTCAACACCGATTACTTGGCTGGCAGGATTGGCAACCCTTTTTGAGGACTACCTGAAAGTAGCGCCAAATGCAATCATTTCATCAAAGAAACACAAAACGGCCATCATTCGCCTAGAAGAGAAGCACCGCGTCAACTTCAGCAAAAAGAATACAGATGAGTTTGCTGACCTCATCGACGATTTCATCAGGATGGGGCTTCGCACTTGAGGTCTTTGAAACAGCAGCCGGAGAAAAAGGAACAAGCGTTTCGACGAGCAGACAAGGAACAACAGAAGACCTTGTCACACGTCATTGATTTGATTCGCTTCGATGTGGAGCACCAGGACGACAGCCAAGGTTCCCAACATGAACAAGGTCCAAAACAACTGGCCATGGTTCCTTTTGAACAAGATCATCCCGAAGATGTCCAGACCCATCCATCCTCTGGTTCCAAAGAGCATTGCAAAGCTCCCCCAATGGCAGGTGATGCATTGGCGGTTTTTGATCGAGTCCTTCAAACACACCAATCCGATGAAGCAGAGATTCCCATCACTTTGCTGAAGTCATCCCAACCCAAGGGTGGCCATTCAACTCCAGCTCCAAAAACAGAATCCCCACCCAAGAAACATCCTATCAAATTGGTTCTCACACCAGAGGAAGAGGAGATTATCCTTCGCAGCGCAGCCAATGCCTCCCCTATTTGCAAAGATGGCAAGTCCCAGAACCAGAGGTTCAACGCTCAGAAGGCTAAGAATAAGAAGAAAGGAAAAGGGAAAGGGAAAAAGAGTGACAGGGAGACAGAAGAGGGAGAAGAAGAGAACAAAGACGAGACCAGAACCCAGCCAAAGAAGAGACCTTCTGCAGCAGGAGACAGCCGTGCATCGAAGAGCCAAAAGAAGGATGAGTCAGAAAGTTTGGAGCATTTGTTGAAGGAGTTGGATTTTCGCTTTGAAGCAGTGCCTGGTCCAGACAAGCTTCCTCGAAAACAGCGGCGCAACCAACACACTTCGAGGGCTTACCACCGCGCTCAAGACTTCCTGGTTCGACAGGGGTATTCGAAAGAGGTTGCACAAGAAGAAGCTCGCAGGCAAAGCAGGAAAGCAGGCGCATGGTTTGATGAACGATGGCCCCTAGGAAGTGAGGTCGTGTTCAAGAAGCCGGCCATGAAGGGAAAGAAAGTGGAGCCAGAAGAGTTGGAAGAAGAAGAGCTAGAAGAGGGAGAAGAGCTAGAAGAGGGAGAAGAGCTAGAAGAGGGAGAGGCAGATGAGGCAGAAGAAGAGATCCCTATTCCTATGAAGAAACCCAGTGCAAAGAAGACCAAGAAGAAGACTCCTATCTCCAAAGAACATGATGACTATGAGACCCCCGCAGTGATGAAGAAGCCTTCGCAGAAGATCAAGGATCCTGAGCGCACTCCTGAGGCTCAAGAGCCTTTGCGCGTCAAATCTGAGCCTGAGGACATCGATTAGTTTTTGAAGTATGACCAGGTCTGAGCCATTGAAATATTGTATTAGTTCACATATACATGGTCCAATACGTGTTGTTGCAAAGCCAGTCATTTGTTAATGTTTGTTCAATTTGATTCAGGCCGCAGCCCGAAAAGGTGGATCAAGGATATCCAGCAGAGCCTGCATGGCGTTGAACTGAGACACGAACGATGCAGATGCGAAATTATGTGAACCCATAATTTGAACTGCTCCAATGCGTTTTTGAACGTGAGGAAGACCTGACCTATATTTGTTGAACTGGAGGGAAACCATGAGGGAAAACCGTGAGAGAAACAACCTTGAGGGAACTTGAGAGAGTCAAGAGTTTGTTCGAAAAACACATGGATCTTTGCTCAATTGTGTTCATGTAAATTGACCGTTTTTTACAAGGCGGTCTTGTGCTTGCGCTGAGGGTTTCCTTGAACAACACATCATTGTGCGAGAGTCATTGTGAGAGCTGAGAGTCATTGTGTTTGATCGACGTAAACAGGTTCAGAGCAGGTTTTCAGAGTTGAAGATTCAAGAACAAATCCTGCAAGCTTGTACCCAATCAAACGTTGCAAATCATGCGCATTTGCATTTTGACAAGCTCTATGTTCCTATATACGAACACGCAACCCATTGGACAGCTTCACTTTGCGTTGTTCAGATGTTGCAATACATTGACATTCATTGAGTACGATACTCATCCACCTTCAAGCCATCTGTACTTCTCAAATTTGATGAGCACATTTTTGCATTTCAGAGTTCACCATTCATTTCGCTTTGCTTTGCCATAGCAATGAGCTCTGAAGTGCACAGGCTCTTTCTAAAGCACCTGGAGTTCTCCACGACTTCGAAACAGCTTGCGGATACCCTGACGAATGAGGGGCATGGAGATGGGTTGGTGCACATCCGGATTGTGCGCAAGGGAAGCCACTTTCCTGGGAAGACCTGCAACGCGTTCGTAACGTACGAGCTGGAGAGTCAGGTCCGTGATGCTGTTGCAGGACTGGCGCAGTCGACCCTCAATGGCATTTGCAAGTACCCATGTGAAGCTGACGTGGCCTATCCTCGCAACAACTCCGACACCTACTATCACCTGAAGGAGAACTCTTGGACAGGTGGACCGACGACTTCATCGAGCACTCCCGAAACCCCTCCGGTGACGCTTCAACCAAGGCCACCGAGCACTCCGCCGCCAGCAGGTCTCAGGCCAATGGCCCCACCTGAGCCACCTGGTCCTCCACCCGGTTGGCAAGCGCCTCCCGGGATGATGTTCACAGGACCTCATCCGTTTCCACCGCCACCGCCTTTGATTCCTTTCGGAGCTCCTCTCGGTCCACCTGACGGACTACTACCTGCAGTGGCTCCAGCTGCAGCCAAGGTGCCAGGTGCAACGCCAAAGGCAGATCCTCCTTGGAAGAAGACCACTGAGAAGGTGGAGAAGGTGGAGAACAAGGACGAGGAGAGCGATGGACAGAATGTGACTTCCGACGGCTATGGCGAGGAAGATTTGCGCTATGGCGAGGAAGATTGGTGTGACGACATGCTTCAGTCATCGCTGTGGGAGGTCTTCCATGAGGATGATGGCGGCAAGGCTGAGGGAAAGCCTGAAGTGGAGGCTGAGGGAAAGCCTGAAGTGGAGGTTGAGGGAAAGCCTGAAGTGAAGGCTGAGGGAAAGCCTGCAGTGAAGGAGGAGGGAAAGCCTGCAGTGAAGGAGGAGGGAAAGCCTGAAGTGGAGCTGGTCGATGTGAAGGAGGAGGCCACGTCACCAGCCGAGGCCAACCAGAATGACGAGAAGGCCGTGGAGGAGGCTGTGGAGCGTGTTTCGAGCGCTGTCCAGAAGGCTGTGGGGAAGGTTGTGGATCGTTCTTCGAGTGACCGTGATCGTCGTTCAAAGAAACGCCCCTCCAAGAAGAAAAGGAAGAAGTCAAGGAGACGGTCCAGGTCAAGGCGACGACGCCGTTCTTCATCGACGAGCAGCCGAAGTTATCGCTCAAGGCGGCGCAGACGTTGAATTTGTATGAGTGAGTGTGAAAAACGTTGCACTGGCGCGTTCTGGCTTTGCCGTGTGATTCTTTCCATTTCCTGTTCATGCATTCCAAGCTAGAAGAATGAAGAGCTCATATTCACCATGAGAGAATTTATCAGTCTCTTGATGAACCATGAGAGGTTTACTTGAGAGTCAATTTAAGGCTTATTTGAGATGAGAGGTTTAGTTTTCAAAGTTTGCCTTCAACCTCAGAGAGTATACCATGAGAGTTCACTTGAGAGTCCATGAGAGGTTTGTGAGAAACAATTTCTAGGGAATTAGACTATCTAGAGTATCACTTTAAAGGAAGTTCGTACGATCAGGACAGCTTGAAAGTGTAACCTGAGGGAACCTTGAGAGTGTACCTTGAGAGAACCTTGAGAATGTACCTTGAGAGAACCTTGAGAGTGTACCTTGAGAGAACCTTGAGAGTATGTGACTTGAGGGAACCTTGAGAGTATGTGACTTGAGGGAATGAAGACTTCAGAGTCTGTAGTATCATCATCTTGAAGTATAATTCGACATGATTGTCATGTCTCAATGCCAGCTCAAGTTCAAGCAACAAAACTATCTTTAGACATCGTCTAGCTTTTGTAGTTGTGAAGCCATGCAGTCCAGCAAGCAGCCTGAACATCATCAAGTAGAAGCTGTTGAGGAGGAAGTTCCAAACGACGACATCACCGGCTGGGTCGCTGTGGATCAAAACAACATCATTCAGGTTTTTGGGGAGGTGTCCCAAAGATCAATCGACCTCATGAAGATTATCCATGGAGATCTCACTTGTGGAGAGGAGCCTGAGGTTCGGTACAACCCTGTGCCCAAGAAGGATCAAGGATATCCAGCAGAGCCTGATGAACCTGCTTCTTCATCCTCACAGCCGCCGCCTTTGCGCAGAATGCCCCACCCAACGGACAACGCAGTCTTGGAAGAAGCCGGCAAAGATGATAAACCCAAGGCTCAGAAACGCAAGTCCAAGAAGAAGAAGGGCAATAAGGGCAAAGGCAAGAAACATCGTTGAGCACTACATGTGATGTGAGGCTTGCGGTTTTTGAATGTGTTTCTCTTAGGCTTTGGCAGTGAGATTCACTGAGTTTGATTGACTGAGTGCAGGCTTTGCAAAAGAACTCAACAAACAAATGAGCTGTGATCATTTGAAAACCATGACAATGAGCGAGTTCCTGAACTGTGTTCTGAATCTGGTTTGAGACTTTGAGAACATTTTTCACCAAACACCATGAGAGATTTTTGAGAGACAGAAGGAAGGCCAAAGAGTCAGGGGTCGAAGTTTGGTCGAAACTTCGTCGAAGTTTCGACTCGAAGTTTGGTCGAAGTTTCAACTGCTATCGAAGTTTACTTTTGTACTATGTTAACAAAACACTGTAAATACCATATGTTTTGAAGGTTGTATCTTAAACTTCGACTAAACTTCGACCAAACTTCGACTAAACTTCGAGTCGAAACTTCGACGAAGTTTCGACCAAACTTCGACCTGTCATCATTGTAGTAAAAGAAAAACTAATGAAACCATACTACAAACCTTCAGGAATTCAAAGAGTTTGTGTTGGAATTCTTCAAAAAATGCTTGATGAACCTATGAGCGGACACTTCATTCTTCAACATTTGACCTGTTGACCTCTGTGGATTTCTTCCAATCAGCGCTCAAGTCGATCATTTTTGTACGAAGAATCTTGCTTAGATAGTACGCGTGATCGCTTATCATCATGCCTCCCGTGAAACGCCCAGCTAGCGCAGAAGAAGGTCCCAGAAAGAGGCCTGCAAGTTCCATCAACCAGACGGTCAGAGAGATCAAAGAGCAGTCTGCGGCCATGAGCGAAACCCGAGACAAGGGGAAAGGTGAAAAGTTCGCGAAGATGTTGAAGGCAGGAACCCTCCCCCCAGAGGTGGTGCACATGTGGAGCATCGAATCGAAAAAGGCACCTTCGGAGCGAGCCTTCAAGACTGAGCTCATCAACTCGCTATTCGCAAAGCAGAAGGACGGCTCGTATCGCATCGACACGGACTCCCACCAATTCGCACAATACCGCAAGGTGCACCATGCCCACATCGCGAAGACCAAGGACGAAGCATTGCCGAAGAACCTCATGATCGGTACGCACTTCAGTGGAGACGAGCGCCTCTTCAACAGAGCTTTGGAGGACAAGGAGCTTACCTCTTTCAAGGATGAGGCGTCCGGCATTGAGTACTACAGCTTCCGTAAGCTTCAGGCTGTGGATTTGCATGCGTCCGCGCAGGGCGAGCATGTGCATGGCTACAAGAAGCTTGGGAAGGATCAAGCTTACACCTTGGGTGCCCTCATGACGAAGATGAAGTGGGACTTCAAAATGACCAAGGCACAGAAAACATGTTTGTAAGAATAGGATAACGGCGCTCAGTTCAGAACACTTTGTTTTCATGAGCTCTGCAAGTGTGGGAAGTGCCTAGTCCTTGAGAAGAGGAGTGGAGAGTTTTCTTGTGAGTCTTGTGAACTGAAACCTTGTCTACGGAAAGCCATCAGTATAAACCGTTATAAAAATAATACTAAACTTTTTTGAGGCTTTAGCCACATATCCTTCAGCCCATTGCTGTTTAAAGACAATATACAGAATTGGTGTTCAATTCATGAGGCAGAACAAAAGAGTTTGGACAAGGACGGCGAGATTCCCAAAGGTTTTGAAGCATTGGCATCTAAAGCGAAAGATGCCGTGGAAAGACTCTTGAAGGAGGGAAAGAAAATCGCCAACCAGATTGAAGACAAGGCCTTGATCAAGAACGGGTTTACCACGCTGACAGGCCATCTCAACGACCTGAACCATTGGTCTATGTTCCAGGAACTGCCCAACAAATCAGTGCCATCCAAGGCAACTTTGGAGTCCTTCGTGGGGAAGATTGCAGTCGATGTGGATCGTTTCAATGGGGAAATTGAAGCTGCCAAAGGTCGGCTTAAAGCCCGTAAGAACTGAAGCGTTACACTTAGCTCGGCTGCTTAGTGATCATGCCCACGCCTCCAGCTCTTGGGGAAATTTTGATGGGGGGTTATTCTATTTTGGTTTAGCCCATATACCAAAAAGAACATTAAACACCCTATGGTTCGAAGCTGTTCTCCATATCTTTGCAGGTTCTGAGTTCAAGCTGTTCTCCATGTGTCCTTTACAAGTTATTGTTTGAAGCGGTTTTCCAAGTCCAAGTCGGGCTTTTTCCAAGAACATCATCTCCAAGAGGAAAGGCAAGTGGCTGAAGGATCCCTGATGGATCGAAAGCTGGCAACGTATGAGAGTTGAAAAAAGAACCTTTAGATCATGATGCTTGAACTTGTATATACCGGAAAAAGTCTTGAGCTGGCAACGTATGGAAAACCGATCCCTGCTAAACAAAGTATCTTTCAAGCAGTGCTGACACGCAAGTGCTAGAATATGTTTCCCATATATGTGTCCCTGGGATATCTCTGTTTCTCTCAAGGTGTTGTGCGCTCAGGTCATCTCATGGCTCAGATTTGTGCCTCATGGCTCAAACTCCCTGCCAAATATATTGACTGAAGTTGGGGAGTTTGCAGCGTCTACCCAAAAACCTCAAGCCCTGAGTTATCCTTGAGTGAAAAGAGCATCAATTTATGGTTGGCCAAACCCTGCCCTTGCCTGAGCTTGGATTTTCTGAAAACACAAGTGAAAACCTCGAACTTACAAGCGCGTTGTGACAGAGGGAACACTGTGGGGAACCTAGCTTTTCAGAATTTGCAAACATATATATAGAGACAGTTTCGATTCATGCTTAATCATTTTCAGAACTTACAACGTTTGGACAAAAAGAGTGGAGATCGTTTTTGCCACAGGCACGAGTTCAAACAAAACGACATCAACCAACAGTTGGCTTTCTCTCAACAAAGTTTTATTTCAAACACTTCTCTCAACGTTGCTCTCTCAAGGTGAGATCCCTCCTCTCGCTCCTCTCAAGGTGAAGTTACTCCTCTCAAGGTGGCCAACCAGTGGGAGGTTCCTAAGGTGAAGCCCTACACGAGATGTATTCGAGCCTTTTGCTAAGAAAACATTTTCAATCAGTTTCGAGATGCATACGTCAGAATATGTTTCACTCAAATTCCTCTCTGTCTCTCACGGTTCTGACACTCATGGTTCATGGTTCAGGTCTGACACTAACGCTTTCCCAGATCTTCTCATAGCTCAAATGTGGCTAGGCCGTGCACTGCAAACTCAATGTATTACGAGGCCAAAAGGCATGACAAGCTGAAGACCTATAGAGCGAAAAAAAAGAGTGAGATCTCAAAACTGTTTAAATGACAAATGAACGCCACTGAAGCCACTTTGCGCTTCAAGAGAAAGTCTCCTCACACTCGAACCTCTTCAGCAGTTGAGCCGCTTAAGACGCAATGTGTGCATGAAGACAGGCACTGACAAAACACATAGAGTCTGACAGGAGACCTTTTTACCACTGCCACATGTAAAAGACATTGTTTACACTGTTACACCTTTTGCGCCGGTATGTATTGAACATGGAGCCACCCAGAAAGAAACAAAAAAGAGGTGGTATAAAACAGAGGATTGCCAGGGCCAAAGAAGCCGAGCGGGCCGCGCACAACTTTGAGGGCAGCAGCACTTTGGCAGCCTTACTTCTTAGTTTGTTTGCGTGGGGGTTCTTCAGCCCCCAGCGGGTGCAAGAGATCGCTGCTCGCGCTGTCCAAGACATCGAAAATGCTGCCAACAACCCAAGTGTGATTGAGGAGTTGAAGATTCTCCAGAGCCTTGGGACCAAGGGGAAATACAGCAACAAAATGCACGGCCAACTGATGGAAAGAATTGAATGGGTTTCTCGGCTGCCTAAAGGCTATAAGTTTCAAATCCCACTCCGAGGGTTTCGACAAACTTGCAGCCAAATGATGCTACTCCCACACGAGCTCTTCTCTGTCATCTATCACAGCTACAAAGCAGTTTGGAGCAAAACTGTGGCCCCATCCGTGGACACTGTGAAGAAGTTTTGGCACGCAGTCAGA